ACATAAAGTAAAAGACAACTCCAAGTATATGATCTTATAAAATCCTGTTACAGGAAGATGTCTACGACATTCGTTGCCAAATTTTTAGACGTTCTAACGTATGACCTTAAGAGCGATTCTTGATTGATTTAGGTATACCGCGAAGGTGACAGACACAGATTAAGCTATATTTAGATGGCTCAATCCTTTACCGATAGTAAATGGATTTATCTGATGTTTTTTTTTTAAATGATAAAACGGAAACCACTTTATTCACAGGGATAGAACACACAAGTTCCCTAATCTCGTCCACTCAACATGAAATGAAGGAAATCTTAAGCAAAAAATACTCCTATTTCTATTACAATAACGAACATTTTCGCAAACGGAACACGTAGATGACAGACAGACATAATTGTAATTGTAATATTATTAATGGCGGCTGTACGTGACGTCACAATTGTCATGTGTTTTAGTTGGTTAGTTAGTCAGGTTGTAATATGGGTGATGTGATGAGTGTTTTGTTATGTCTCTTCAGATAAAAATCACGGCTTTTCTATATTTTTTTCCATTAAATCTTGTAATACAAGCCACTCTCTTGATGTAAGGTCACTTATTTTGAGCTAGATTTACAATTTTCTGAGTTCCATTATTTCAATAATACATTCACTAGATATATAAAAATACTATTTGCTGGACTTCAGCTCCATAAAATTAGACAGCTTTATAGGTAAGCCTAAAGTCATGAGTTTGTTTTCCCAAGCCTGAACCAATAAATAAATAGTTTCTCCTAATTTTCTCCCTCCAGTAACCCCTAAACTTCCTCATACTTTACTTTACTTTATGTAATTTTCTTAACTATAAAAAATCTTAATGTGATGTTAGAGTCACCATGATCGTTCGTTACGTTAAAACCGAACGACTGCCTCGTACCTACATTATAAACGATAAAAATAATTCTGCAATGGACTATACCTCACAGACTTACACTGACGTTATGAAAAATAGACTTGGCTTGGAAATATTTATTATTATAAATAAAAATAGTAACGCAGACGTCTCAGTATCAAATAAAGGGTTGCCTTTTCAAAGTGTGTGACAAATTGTGACAAAAGTGAGGACTAGCTGTTTCATTACAGAGGCTCCTCGGCGAATAAAGTATGAGTTATGTGTCGTATCTGTGAAGTGGGCCACTTGGTAATATATTATTTGTATTTTTCTATGATATACTGCTTTGATAGTGTCATGAATATTTGTTGGGTGTTTAAATACCGTTTAAGGGAATATCAGAATGGTTGTGAAGAGATCTGTCTGTTGTTTTTGTGATTTAGTGGTTATAATACGACTTTTGTAGCGTAAATAGAGGCGAATTCAAAAATTTTGAACATGTGCAAAACCTGGGGAGTTGATGGCACGTTGCTGGTCATTGACAAGCAGAAAGAGAGTGTTTCACGTCCGTGTGTTTCCAATCACTCCAAAGAAACCAGCTCACCCGTGCCGAAGCAAAGTCTATCTCACGAAATATAATTTATTCTACTTGAAAAATTTTTTGCAGCTTATAATCAAAATCAGTACAAACATATAGTTACAGGAGAAAATCAAAAAGCTCCTTAAGCTAAGGATACACTAGCGGACAAATTAATGTCCCAAGGCATGCATCAGCGACATGTCAAGCGAAGCTGGTAACGCAGTCGCGACAACGCACAACTTCTATGTCCATGAATGCATGTATGCATAGTTTATTGTGCTCGTGTGTAGGTATATATATTATAATGATGTTTCTTTATGTTTATCACTAAATATATAAGTGTATCTATTTTAATTACTCAATTAATTCGTTGCTTACTTCTTGCTCACACCATTTACTCTTCTCTGCATCATCCAAAGGTCAGACTGGGAGAAAATGCCTGCGGCATTAAGTCCACTTTATGTACATTTTGTGCATGAAGCTTAAATAAATAAATAAATAAATAAACACAGTGATGTTGACGTTGCCAGACATCACCAAAGTCTGGCAATGCCGCGCTACTTCACCCAACGTCGTTGGCGATACGTGTCGCAGCCCATTAGTCCCTTAGTGTACCCTTCGCTTTACTACAGTTAAACAAAAAATAAAACAACACCTCTAACTTCACACACCAAAAACACTTGTCAGGATAACACATTGATAACAATGTATCATCCACACATGTATGTAATGACGTCACTCGCAGGTGTAACCCCTTGTTAACGCCCTCATTTATTTACGACGCTCCTAATGCTGCCGGGTTTAGGCGATAAGAAGGGTGCAGCCTAGTTGGAATATAAATACCTACTTAATTAGATATCTCATGGGCTCAGGCTGTTTTAGATAATTCGTTAATTATCCTGCAACTTATAGATAATTATAGTTATGTAGTTAAACCTTGATTTATCCGAAGATTTCTAAGAAAATTAACATATTATAACATCACGCGTTTTATCCCCGAAGGGTGCAGTGGTGTACATTTACGGCACTTAATGCGTTTGTACAATGTAATGGGCAACAATGGACTTTTCACTATTATCGGTCCCATGTACCTAATAGAGGATTTTATTTATACCGGATTTCCAGACACATTTCCAGGCTCCGTGATTATCTATCACTGTGATTATCTTTAAACAATCAAGTAATACTTTGCCTGACCCGGAAATCGAAATCGAAATCGCACTTGCAACGACAAGGCCAACGAGGCAGTCCTATTAAGAAAACTCTTTGATGCAATATTTGAAAAATACTGCAATTCGCAACATTAGAACCGACCTCAAAGCAACCACCAAATACATAAAAGCGTCATTACAACACCAAAAATCACAGTACCCAGCATCATTAATGTTACCTCCAACGACAACTTTCATTGTTCCCCATCAATTCAACAGTTACCGTTACACTCACCTCTACACTCAAACAATCAAACTTTAGAACCTAATTTGGAACTTTAAGGCCTCCTTTTAAACCCATTTATAACGTCTAAACTAATTACGGAACTGTAAAACTACGCCTCCGTGTGTCAGTATAAATTGGCTAAGATAAATGAGTTCTGCCGAGCTCCCTAGCTTAATGGCGTGATCTATCATCTATCACGGGTGTTCAGGACCTGGTGGCTATCCACTTAATGGTCTTAAGTTTTCTGAAATTGATGTTTAGTAGTTGCATCTGCATACAGTTAGTGCTGAGTTGTTCTGCTGGAAGCAACGCAATGCATTTCTAGTTCCTTTTTACCTTGTTTAGAGCTAAAACCATTATCTATTAGGTTTATGATTGTATTTAACTTGTATCTGATACACCTGACATGCTGATAGCAAGAAAAGAATACATAATGTATATGAATACAGTCGTAGATTAACACAAATCTTATTATCGAGCTAGTGTCAATGAGGCCATTACACAAATTCAATGGTACAAATACTTTCCATAGTAACCGAAGATTTATTAGAGGAAAAATCAACGTTCTTCTTGTTTGATTTCAATAAAAGCTTTTTATTATGCTCCCTAAAGATTGATTCTCATTTATGACTCATTAATTCCTATTATCACCTAAATGACCGCGAGTAAATCAATAGTGTCGAAAATTGAGTTCGCCAGTTTCATGATGAAGAGAATTATGGTAATGTTTCGTCCCGGGATTTGACGGATCTCGGCCTCTCCGGACAATTTATTGCTTATTGTTGTGCACACACAAAGCACAGGGAATTTCTGCTGGATCAACGTGTATAATTGATGAGGTAATTTTTTTGGGAATCATCAAAAATCGGACAATTCACCGAGGAATATGAATTGAAAATGCCTCGCAAATGTTTTAGGTGGAAACGTATTTAACGTACAAAATTGAATTGTTTGCAGAAATATTCCATAGTATTAAAATAAAAAGTTAACCAAAGTTTGTTCAGTAAACAGAGAAGGAAATAACAGAGCATCTGCCAAAAACAAGACGTGCTCCATAGTCCATTAAAACACGAACTCAGATAACAAACACATTTTTCTGCTGACGACACAACAATTTAGATTTTGATCGCAAGAACATTCTAGAAACGCGTTATCACGTGAAATGCTAATAAGAAAGCTGTCACTGTGTCACTCATACTGCTTTCATGTGAGTGAACTTAATTAGAGTTTAATGGTGTCTAAAATGGGTGAGCAGAATTGGTAGTGTCAGTCATTATGGTGGGAGCGTGCCATATGAACTTGCCGTGATATTTGCTGAACGTTCAGGGTGATTGAAAGAATTAAGTTTTCAATCTTTGAAGTCTTGAAGGCTTTTGTAATAACCCTTTATTATATTTAAGTTGAATGTTTCAACATGAATGATAGATATTCAGATTAAACGTAATAACAATTTCGGCATATGGAATTTTATTAAATCTAAAATAAAGCTACAATAAACTTTAGTCTCTGAGTAATCACCGCGGACTAACTTATCCAAGATCTTACTTAATGTTTGAGTCGCTTGTGTTTCATCAAATTACTTTCCCATCTAGTCCTTCGATCACAGAACACTTAAGGAACCAGCAATTAAAGCAGCGCCTAGCGGTAACTTAACGATAATCTATCATCCCGATAACCACGCTGATTTTTCTCGAATCAATCATTTTAAATTGACTTGGAGAATTATAAAAAAGATTGCAGATGAGTGCCTCAATTGACGTCCTTGAGGATTGATTGATGAGTTCAGTCCTGAGATCTGTGGCTACAAATGGGATTTGTTCATTTACATTATCAAACTTGATTTTGTTATTTAGTTTATTGTCTTGGACATCGGTTCAGTTTGACACGTAAATCTAAAATACAATCACTTATTTTGTGATCAATTATAACATCATAAAATAAACGTTCCTAATTCCCAACATCTTACAAGGGAAAATTGTAAGAATAGTAGATCGCAAGCTGGCTCAGAGATAATAAATCGTCTTACCCATTACAGAATAAAATCTTTAATCTTCCCCAGCTCTGAATAATAACTCGATTTAGTAAAACATTAATCAAGTTTTTTTCTTGGTTGCAGATGCGACGCGTCAACTAGCACAAATGGACGCGAGGAGGGCGCGGCAGAATGACAGTGAAGGCTCACGGCTCCGACCCGGGCACTGAAACCACGATGAGCACAACGCTGCTGCCGTATCATAACAACTCACACTACACGACATACCTCTACCCTTCAAAAAGGCCACCTGATGTTAGGAATACGACAGTGAAACTGGAAGTCAGGGATGCTAACGCTAGCGGTGATTTTATGAGGCTAGTGGAAGACTTTAGTGATTACTTCTATGGAAACACGTCCCATGACTTTAGTACCAACTCGAGCCTAGACTTGGCTGACGTGTATGGCTATTCAAACTGTAGTTTTAATGGTACATTCAATATATCTTGTTTTAATAGACAAGTGGATGATTCGGAGCAGAATCTTTGGGCGTTGTTGCTGTTGATATTTCCTTTTTTCACGTTGTTTGGGAATGTGTTAGTGATTATGAGTGTAGTGCGCGAGCGGACGCTGCAGACTGTGACGAATTATTTTATAGTGAGTTTGGCCGTGGCGGACCTACTGGTGGCGGTCGTCGTGATGCCGTTCGGAGTTTATTACTTGGTGAGTCCTAGCTTATGTACTAATACTCTATGGATGTACTGGAACTAAGGCTATTTTTAATTCTAAGCCATATATTAGTTTGTCACCTTGTTGTTTCAACGAAAGCGTGGTGACTATGTTAATTAGCGTGCATACTCAGTGAGTTTGCGCATGGTAAAAATTACAAACAGGTCCATTTCATACCTTTTTCGATTTATGAAATTGATATTTACAATGATTGATTATGTCCTGGCATCGCAAATTGGGTTTTTAATTTGCAAGAGTGCAAAGTTATATTTAAATTTTCACACTTAAGTTTATGAGCGGAGATGCAGCTGATGCTGCCTTCTATACACATAAACTATCACAGTTGCCCTCATTCTGAAAGAACAGAAAATATTTGCTGTCTTTTATAGTAATTTTACTACTTTATATAAAATTTAAGAATATGGGATGAATCATAATGGCAGAAATAAAACATACGTGGGACATAATTTTGCCTTTCCATTTAAAGTTAGTACCAGATTGTACCCAAAATAAAAGCTTTAAAGTTCATTGCAACTCTAAAACAACGTAAAACTCGACACGTAGCAACAAAATTCACTAACGCAAGTAATGCAACTGTCTTGCATAATATGTAAACCGTTTTCAACACAAAGTATCAAGTTGGAATCCCCTGGAATGCCGACCCAGAAGGCAGTCGCTAGTTTCCAGGCAGTTCCAGCCAGCTAACTACTAAACAAAAGGATTAAATGAAATTGTGACTAGTTCTACGTTGTACAAACATTTGTCGCAGTTAAGTCCATGGAATTAAAGAAGAGTGTCGACATTTTGAGATAAGTGGATTGCTCGTTACTTTTAGGTGCTCTGTTATAAGCACTAGGTATTTTTAGGGTATTTGTAGCTTGTCTTGGTGTTGAAATATCTGTGGTGTCTCATTGGAGCTTGTAATCTCATATGATCTTATGTCGCTAAAAGAATGTTATGACTACAATGTCACCTTAAAATATCAAAATGATCGTCATAAAGTTACATACCGATTCGATTTATGGATCAAATACACCAGCGGGCGTATCGTTTAAAAAACACACCGCACATAATATAAGATCTGCACCCCAAAACACAACTAGAGCGTAAAGATAAGTAAAGTAACAACCGAAAACATTCTAAATTCCCACTAAACTTGGAACTATAACTATAAGACACATTTTCGATCCGAAATAAGACATGTACAATAAAAAGATAGTCTACAATTTTAGAGCTACCCTCACACATGATCTGTTTTATGTGATACACCCCCGATACAGACGGTGAGACGTAAAATTTTTAGGGTGCCACATGAATTTCAGTTCGCCATAAAATGTATAATAAAATTATATTTCGTGATAGACGATTGAGTTTTTTGCAGTTGCTATTGCTATTTTCTTTGACTAAGGTTGTTTTATTGCGGCTTAAGTAATAGAAATTGAAGGATTCCGTTCAAATGATTTGTTTTGATGGCTTCTAATATATTTTATGTCGTCGTTTATAACAAAAGAGTTGATTGTAATGGATATACTCGTTTATTTCTTGAATCCTTGCTCCCAATCGATTTCGAATGACAATTTTATTCAGTGTTGAAGGAATCGGTCAATCGTCGAGTTTGTCGAATGTCGATTGGTTTTATTCGTTGTCAGTCAGTGTGGTTTGGATCCCGATGCATTTGATATGAATGTCTTTCGTCGACGTGGCTCAGAATGTCAGTTACTGCTTCTATCTCGAAGTTTTTATGGTCACTTTGATGCTTTGGACTTTACAGCTGAAGATAAGAATATGCAAATGCTTGCAGTGTCTTCGAGTCAATAATAGATTCTAGTATTATTCCTTCCTTAAATTCGTTACTGTACAATTCTAAAATTGTCGGTTTCAAGTATGTCATTCATAAATATGATAAGTTGACTTATTCTGATAGATAATAAGAATATTAATATTCCTGTAAGATATAGAATTGCAGTCAGTTCACATGTAAACTTTATAGTTCCCCACCGCAGCAACAAATCGGATTTAAGACCACGTTAAACAAAAATATCCAAATTAAAGAAGTATCTCCTAATTTTCAGACACTAAAACTTTGAAAGTAAAGCCTGAGGCTAAACCTACGAAATAATAAGTATAAAGTAGACAGTTGAAATACTTTGGGACAACAGTTAAAATAGGACTTACATCTAAAATTCTTGCTTTGTATAATCTTCTGTCAGTTATCCTTTCTCTTTGGGAAATATTTGGATTAAGCGTGCACAGTAGGGCTGAGGACCCAGTTAGGCCCGACCCAGAAGTGCAGACAACTTAGTAGGTTATCGGAACTCCGGCTCGAAGCAGCAAGAATGGAGTAATTTTTCAATTAGTATGACTTTGACACTGTTTCACGCCTTACACAAAACGGGAGAGACAGCACGGTTGGCGCGGTAGCTGGGCAACCGGCTACTGCGCAGTGTGTCGCGAGTACGATTTCGCACGAAACAACTCTTTGTGTGATCCACAGAAAGTTGTTGATCTGTATGTCATGTGTATGTGAACTTGTATGTTTGGAAACGCACCCACGACAAAAGCGAAAATTCTAGAGATATGCAAAGTTTTTTTTAATACGAGATAATCCCCGTTAAAAAATGTATTTCCCTACTCTATATGAATCTTGTGACACCTATCATTATTCATTCGACTCCTGTCTTTTAATATCCTTTGTACCCTTTACAGATACAGCAACATGTTTTTCTATCAATCAGTGTGAATCTTTCTCCGAATTTGTTTAGTCACGTGTGACCTATTTCGTCTTTTTTGTCTTTATGTTTGTTGTCGTGCATTTTGTGTTCTTTTGATGTTGTTTTTATTGTAGTGTCAGGTTATTTTACTGTCTCTGGGTTTCTCTTCTAGTACATGGAAGCATGTATGTTAATAATGAATTTCGGGGACATATCTTTGTTCATTTTCTTTTTTTTTAGTATATCTTAAAGAATTAAGTAATAATTAGTATAATTATGTATGATATTATTGACCAATAATTCAGGTTTGATATTTAAGGATGAATATCCAGAAAAATCTTATACTTTTTAAAACGAAGAATTTATACAAAATTGTTTTCAAATTGAAAGTTTAATGAAGAAATGATTTTAGAAATATTTCTGCGACTAAGAACGAACAATTTTTGAAGATTGGTAGAAAAGGGTCGCCGCAAAACTTTAGTTTATCACCCTGCTTTAAATTGTAACGTAAAATTATTGAAAATTCCCTTTTTAGTTCTTAAATAAATTATAGTCGGTATTGACCCATTCATTTCGTCATCATCATCATCAGCCCGTATTCGTCCACTGCTGGATATAGGCCTCTCCAATTACATTCATTAACACGTTAAACGCCATGGGGGTCACCGGTGACCGGCATTAGCGGAGGATTTACCTTCAACACTTTTTTTTGGTAGTCAGAGTCTTAACTACATTTTTGTATTCATAAAGAATTGAAATATAATATTTAATTAACCGACTTCAAAAAAAGAGGTTTTCAGTTGGACCTGGATGTATTGTATTTTATGTATATATATTTGTGTCAATTATCTCGCGATTGGTTGAACCGCTTTTAATACGTTTTTCTGAACAGTATTTTTGAAGAAGAAGAAGATTAAGTAAATTAATTAACCGACGACTTCAAAAAAGAAGGGGTTGAAGTCGGCTTTTTTAAACGAAGTTCGGTTTTAAAATGTCTTAAATAGGAGACTGACTTGATGATGATGGAAAATCATCAAAAAACATAAAAAAAAATATTAAAACCTTTTCTAGACAAAGGACAAGAAGCGTTGAGTTAAGACTAAACACCTCCTTTTCCTAGATTTATAAGTATGAAACTAATAACTTGTCATAATTTATTTATTCCAAGTATCAAGAAAAGCAATGACTGCCTCGTTGGCCAAGTAGCCACAAATATGACTGCCGTGCAAGGGGTCTCAGGTTCGATTCCCGGGTCAGACAAAGTACTACTGGGGTTTTGAAAAAAAAACTCAGTCAGCACAGAATCTGAAATTGTGCCCGGTACATGGCAATTGGCTCAGCACCTGGTACATGGGACTGATAACATAAATATTGAAAATTGGATGTTACATTGTGCAGTGGTATTAAGTGTCGTAATAGGCTTCTCTGTCTACCCCTTCGGGGATAAAAGGCATGATGTTATGTTATGTTACAAAAGCAATGACGAAATAAACCCTCTCCCTGCCTATTTGCGGACCAATACAGCCAAAAACTGTTCGGATTGAACAATTTTCTGTGTAGGGGTTGCTAATGGCACTTTATTGAGAACCGATTTGCTGTTGTAACAACGAAACGATTCAAATGACTTAAACTTTGTTCAGTTACTGCTGGGAGTGCTGCTTCAATCAATAAGTACAGTTTTACTTCTATAGGCACTATGTAATTATTA